TGTCCTCTTCTCGCCACTGTACTTTACCCCTGTAAGATGTGCACTCGTGGGCTGGAAAGGCCCGGTCACCACAGCCACACCCCTAACTTCCACCTTATTCCTCAGCCCTGCACCTGGCAGAGCACCGCCGCTCCTTGCATTTCTCCAGCCTTTCCTAGTACAGCCACAACCCTTTCACTGAGCTCCTGTCCTCACAGTCCCATTCTGACCTCTTCCTTCCACTGCCCCATGTGCTCATGACCCCATCAAAGACCTTCAGCCTGTACCAGAGTTGCCAGTTTGGACTAAGGGCTGGGGTGGTCCCTCTCAGGTTTGTTCTGAAATAAACCTGTCCTGTTGAGACTGTACCTTTGCTTTTTTCTCCTCTTTTTCTGAACAGTTTTAGGAAATAACACCTGGGGAATGCAGTAAGTATTAATGAATAGAAAGATCAGAACTAGACCCAAATCTTTCACTATGCACTAAACTAACACACTGAAATGGACCAGAGATCTAATATTAATACAGAAACATTTAAGTGGCTGGAAGAGAGAATAGGTAGAACGTGTGAGGATGTAGGAATAGGCAAAGTCTTCATGAACAAAACCTCAGTCGCATGTGAACTAGCACAAAGAATCAACAACTGTAACCTCATCTTATTAAAAGGCTTTTTCACAGCAAGAGAAACCACCAAGAGTGGGAAAAATTTTCCCACAGAATGAGAAAAAAATTTTACCAGTAATTCAGTTAAAGAACTACTATCTAGAATCTAAAACTCAAAATATAGAACTCAAAAAAATTAGGCTCCCCAAACTTCAAGACTCACTCCAAAATGGGCATCTGAAATGAAAAGAGACTTTTTTTGTAAAGAATTAGAAATGGCAGATAAATAGTGAAAAAATGTTCAACATCACTGGTCATTCGTGAAATGCAAATTAAAACAATGCTGAGATTCCACCTCACCCCAGAGAGAGTGGCTGCTATCAACCAATAACAAATGCTGGAGGGACTAAGAGGAAAAAGGAACCCCTCTTCACTGTTGGTGGGAGTGCAGACTGGTGCAGTCATTGTGGAAATCAGTGTGGAGATTCCTCAAAAAACTAAAACTAGAGGTTCCATTTGACTCAGCTTATTCCTGAAAGAATTAAAAGCCTCGAACTTCAGTGACATATGCACATCCATGTTTATAGCAACAGTTTGTAAGAGCTAAAACTTGGAAACAGCCCAAATGCCCATCAATAGACAAGAGGATAAAGAAGATGTGGTTTTTTAAATAAAATGGAGCACTACTCTGCCATAAAGGATGAGCTGCAGACATTTACAGCTAAATGGATGCACCGTGAGACCACACTCTTGAGTGAAATAAATAGGACACAGATGTTTCAATACCACATTGTTTCTCTGGTGTGAGAAACTAAAAGTGGAAATAAGAACTGAAATGTATAATGGATGTTTGGGGAATGGGAAGAAAATGTTCAAATGGGAAGGGACAAGGAAAAAGTGACAATAGAAGGAAAAAGTGGAAATAGCTTCTGTTCATAGGGAGGGGAGGGGACTTGAGGGGGAAATGGGATAAAATGAAATTTATTAAAATAAAATTGAATGATTTTCTTCTCACTTGCCCTCTCAGTGTCACTTGCCACAACATCCTCTTCAAAGTGCTCTGCCCACCTCCCCCTTGAGGTTCTGGGCACTCTGCTCACCCTCCTGTCTTCCTTGGCTGCTCTCTCTGCTGCTTGCTTTCTCCCTGATCTCCAGGGCTAGGTTTCTCCTCCAGCAGCGCTGCCCGCTTCGTCCCCTCACCTCCCTGGTGTCCATCACTGCGTTGGTGCTCAATGCCGGCCTGAGAGGCGTATCGACCTCCCCACGCCTCTGGTAATACGACCCAAACCCCTGCCCATTCCTCTTCCCCAGTCATTTGTGTGAGTGGTCAGAGGCGTACGAATAGTTTCATGCTTTCACATTTCTCCGTGCTCGTGCTGTGATACTGTGACCATTTTCCTGCCCCTTCCTTTCTGCCCATCTTTCTCCCTTACTTGCGTCTCTTTCTCTGAAAGCCTCCCTTCTACACTTTCATGTCAGATTTCTCTCATTTATTTTTGAGATTCCACGTATACGAGAAAAAGGGTGACTTTGTCTTTCCGAAGCTGGCTTGTTGCACCTGACATGAGGGTCTCCAGCTCCATCTGCTTCCTGCAACTGACCGGACTCTAACGCTCAGGTCTACGTGAATAATATTTTTGTAGAGAGTCCACCAAAAATGTATACGTCAGGAAAATAAAAACTTGTATAAATATCGAGACACCATGAGATGAATACGAGTTACCTTTTGTCTCCACAATTATGAGAGGAGGTCAGAGTGGTGGCCATGAACTTCTAGACATTTATTAGTATGGCGAGCTGCTGAAGTGTGCATACATGTTTGATGGTTTCTCTCCCTCTCTCTCTCATATATATATGTCTCATTCTAATATATATACACATACAATTTCTTGCATCCACATCCACTCATCGGTAGATGGGTACTTAGGTTGCTTCCATAGCTCAGCTATCGTGAATTGTGCTTCAAAAGACACACATTCTTAGTCCTTATTTCTTTCTAGCATTACCTGGAAGACAAATCCTACTCTAACTCAGTTGTTCTCGGTCATTTTTAGTATCTGTGCTGTCTAATCTTGATTTTTCAACTGCTTGAGAGACGTTAGGATGTCAGTGAAGCACATTTCTGCATAGGTCACAGGACTTTGGGGACTTTGTCACCCCTGGCCCTGTCCTCTGGCTTCTTCTTGTCGTCTCTGCTTCCAGGGGCTATGAGTTAGCAGCTTTCCTCATCTGTCTAATCTTGATTTTTCAACTGCTTGAGAGACGTTAGGATGTCAGTGAAGCACATTTCTGCGTAGGTCACAGGACTTTGGGGACTTTGTCACCCCTGGCCCTGTCCTCTGGCTTCTTGTCGTCTCTGCTTCCAGGGGCTATGAGTTAGCAGCTTTCCTCGGCCCCACCCTTCTGCCACGATGTTCTTGTCTTGGAGTCATGATCATGGATGGAAACCTCTGAAACCGTGAGCCAACACAAACCCTTCCTTCCGCAAGTTTGTTTAGGGTATTTGGTCACACCAAAAGAACCTGACCAACTCAGTGTCTGATAAGCTATGTTTCAGGCTTCTGAACTCCCCCTTCAGGTGACAGACCACATCTAGTTACGGCATGTGCGGGGACTTCAGCAGCTCCGTGGCAGCAGAGGGGATGCACCGTCTACTCTGTAGCCAGTCTCTCTGTTTGCTGGCATCCAAGGAGTGGCTTTTCCTGTTGCACCTCCTGTCACTGGCCCCCTGGCACTGACAGCATCTCCCCAAGTCCTCCTTTATCCCCAGGTTCTGCATGTTCAGGTCCAGCCAGATCACCTGTGACTTCTGACCACTTCAGCCCCATGTCAGGGACTTTCTCTTGGGCATGTGAGACCAATGAAATATTTGCCAACTTAGCCTTAAACAAGTGTGGTACAGAAAAGCATAGCAGCAGGACAAGTTCCTCTCCACCGTGCAGGGAACATAGACTGTCACTGTTACCTGCAGGGTCATGGCAGTGTCTGAGTCAGAACCAGCGAAGAAGCTGAGGACTCATTTCTGATATTCTTCGTAAATCCACTGAAACAATGGCAGACTCAAGAGTAAAGCGAATAATTTTGAGTTCCCAGCACAATCTGCTGCTTCACAAGCCTGCACATCAGCAGCCTCCCTTCCCTCAGGAGGCTGCCTCCCACCTCCAGCTCCCCTTTCCAGCCTGGGAGGCAGCGAGCTGCTCACCCAGGGGTCCTGCCTGCTCCCTTTGTATGCCTGCACCACTTGCTTCTCAGTGCTGATGCTCTGGATCCTGACCTGCTAAACTCCAGTCTTCACAGCAGAGCAGCAGGCAGCAGCATCTGAAAGCCACTTTGAGGGCAGCTTTTTTTTTTCTTTTTTTAAAGCTGAGCCACAATTCTTGTCTGGAAAACAACACAGTGAGGAAGCATATGGAAATAGGAAAATATTTTCCTTTCTTCCATATTGGGCAAATAGCCAAGTTCATCTTAGCATTTTCTCACCTCAGAGATTTTTGCAAGGAGGAAATCACAAGCAGCATGAGGTCAGTGGTTCCTCCTGTCCTTGCTAAGTGCCAAACACATCACAGAGATGCCCTCAGCTGTCTGGTGAGAGAGTGGAGAACAGGAGAGGGAAAGAAATGCAGATTCTCCCCAAGGCCAGCAGGGTCCAGGCTGTCTGACCCTCTTAGTGACAACTCTTAAAGAGGCAACAAGGCCAGAGAGGAGGTGAGCCGGAGCACGGGTATCAAGATGAGATGCTGGAACCCCTGTTTTCTGAGCAGGGCCTCCCAATCTGAAGAGGTCCTGAAGGCCAGGGGAGGATGAGTTTCCCGGCAGTCACTTCCCTAGGATCTGGGATCTGGTCCTTCAAAGGCCACAGGAGCCCAGGGTCTCGGCACAGCCCTGGGGAGGCGGAGTCGGGGAAGTGACCAAGACTGAATTCCTTGTCGGTGTAGCGCAACTGGGACAGAGTGTGACCGAGGCTGATTGTGATGATCTTCCTGTGCATTTGGGTTCGAACATCTTAATGGAGATCCGCACCTCCCTTGCACTAATCTAGACCACAGACATTGATCAAAGAAGCAGAAATTCCCCAAAGCGTTTGCTTTCTCTTACTGAACTTGCATCCTGGCAGCCATCTCATAAAGCAGTGCTTTTTATTCCCTTTAGATGTCACATGTCAAGCTGTGGTTAAAATGTAAGAAATGACAAAAGAGTAAAGGAAGAAAATGGGAAAAGAAGGGTGTCGGAGAAGCTCAGAAGTGGGTAGAACATTCTGGAAAAGCGTGCATCTGTTTATAAGAAATGGAACAGACCCCGCCCTCCAAGAGGCCAAATAGTCACCTCCAACCTGGCTCAGAAAACAGATGGGAGACTAACAGGTAATGCATCTGGCACTGCTTTCTCCCCTGGGAATTTCTAGCTCTACTGACTTTTACCTGAGGAGCACCGTGGAGAGAAAGCCCGCCTCCTGACTGGCTGGTGGGGATAGACGCCCAGGTGAAGTGGCTTCAGTTGCTGTGCCAGGATCATTTCATTCAATTTTTTCTGCAGGATGAAATATTCTTCAGATAACTTTGATATCTGAAAAGAAGGTCATATGTCAGATGAAAACAATACAAAGCATTCTTCAAGGCCCACAGGCGCCCAAGGGGTCTGATGTATTACAACGCCCCCGGGATGCTTTCTCTTCAGGACCCACCCTGACCCCTGTACCTGGGTCTGATAAAGTCCACACTTCACACAATGTCCCCCTTTGGGGCTACTTTCCCACCTTCCATTTCCAGTCAAGACTGCCATGCATGCCACACTACCCACAGCACTCCATCGTGGTGCATTCCTAGCTCCTGCCATGCCTTCCTGCCTCTCCACTCTGTTTCTGTGGCTGTCCTGCTAGGAGGTGCATGGGACTCCTGCTTTTCTGCCTGCGGTTCTGAATCTACATATGGGCTGGTACTCGCCAGCCCTCGGTCGGTGACTTGGTAATTCCAACCTCTCTTTGAGGTCTCAGTTGCTCGACAGCGCTGGGCTCTCACCCACGATTTGGTCTTTGGACTGAGCAAATGGTTTATGCACCAAAGAATGGAAGGACTGAATGTTCGTAAAACTCACGATTTCCAGGTGTTTTTAAAGAACAGAACAGGAATGGGGGCAGTAGTCCACGGTAGGTCTGCACTAGGAGGCTAGAGGCGTCTGGGCCTCACCTGCAGCCCTAAGGCAGGGGCCCAGGCAAGTTTCAGCTCTTTGAGGCTCAGCCACCAGCAGAGGGGACGGGCAGGGCTCACAGCCTCCCTATCTTGATATTTCTTCTACCCTAGTAATTCACGTATTTTAGAGATCATCTGGTGCCAATCTTTTACTTTACACAGGATAAAAGGGCTGACGCATAAAGTCATCTTAGTCTTAGCAGAAACTGGAAGGGACACTCACAGGGGCCGGCTCCGGTGAGCTCTCCACGGTACTGATTTGCCAGGGGTCTGAGCTCGGCAGTGAGAAGCCCTAAAGCCTCCTGCTTCTATGCTCCCCTTGGGAAGCAGCTGAGGTCCATCAAGGCTCCAGGAGGAAATTCTCCATGAGGCTTTTCTTTATGATCCTCATTGTCCATGACTGCTTACTGCCATACAGCAAATATATACCTCAGGATGGCTACTTAGCTAATTCTGACGTCTAGCTATGTTTCAGCTAACATTTGAGGCAGGGAGAAAGTATAAACGTCACGGTGCCTAGAATACTTTAAAAATTTTAGCAATAGCAACAATCTCAGACACTGAAACTGCATAATCCAACTTTAGCATTTCTGCAAGCAATATAAGCCAATCTCTAGTTTCCCTACAGCATGAGCTTTTTTCATATTGCATACTATTTTTATCCAATTGAACTGGTTTAAAAGCTCATGGATATTTAATTAACAGAATCCTCGAGATATTTTATTAAAAAGGTCTCATAAACACAGGTGAAACAATATACTACTTATTAATTTTGTTACATTCACTTACTGGGTAGCTCCCAGAGATTTTTACTAGTAAAGATTTTTTTTTTTCATTTACATACCTGCTTTGAAAAAATTGCCAAATCCCATGCTTTTTTTTCTGAAGTTGCTTTTGGATTTCTGTCATACTTTACTTTGCTATTGCAGATTCCCGCATGTTTTGCAGGACAGAAACACACATTGTGAGCATTTTTTGTTACATCTGCTGCTGTGGCAAGAGCCCTTTGATCCTTAAAGGAAGGAGACTCTCCATCCTTCCTCAACTGTTGCCTTTGCTTGAAACCACGATATTGGCTCTGGATGAACTTGGCAGCTTCGTCTTCTCCCTCCTGGGCTGGCAGCACTGGGCCCGTGAGTCTTGCATGGCCTCTCTCCTGGTTACATGTGGGTGCATTCTGGGTATCTACACATGTCTTCTTTTTGTGTTCCTTGCTGTTTGTATTTTGAGCAACCAATCTTTGGCTAAGACTAGGTTTCAAGCTTTTTTTCAAAGAAGTCTCACTCTCAACTAACCAAGGCCCTGGGTAGCTTGGCCTGTCCAAAGTGTTCTTCCTCTCTGGACATGCTGCTTTGGATTCCTCCAAACTCCTTTCCTCTATGCGCCTCTGAGAGTAACTTGGCACCGTGGTGTCCTCTTTCTCTGCTTTCCTTAGATTACCATTCTCTTCCAGGTTGTTGACATGCTTCTGCTTGGGACTTGGATCTGCCCAAGAGTCCCCCATGAGATACAGGTCTTGACTGACTTCTTCTCCAGACCTGTCATTCATTGGCTTGTGAGATCGACATCCTCTGTGCTTACTTTCCACACCCTTAGTGGCTTCTCCTTCTCTTCTACAGGCAGACATCTGTCCTATGCATAGACCCCCTTTATTATTTGGAGCTGGAATGCTTGGTTCATTGGCAGACACCACACTTTCTGTTTGTTTCTTCACAACAGAGTTCCTGTGTAAAATATATCACATCCAAATATATGATTTTATTAAGCTAGAACTTATTACTTCTTTTGGAAATAAGCTACCTACAGTACAACATTGGGAGAAAAACAAAAAGGACAAAGAAAGCTCAAAATAAAAATGATTCATTTTCTCTTGAGACAGGGTCTCGCTGCAGAGTTCATACTGGCCTTGAACTCACTATGTAGCCCAGGCTGGCCTTGAACTCACTATGTAGCCCAGGCTGGCCTTGAACTCACTGTGACCCTCCTGCCTCAGCTTCCTAAGTACTGGGATTAAGAAAGCTCAAAATAAAAATGATTCATTTTCTCTTGAGACAGGGTCTCGCTGCAGAGTTCATACTGGCCTTGAACTCACTATGTAGCCCACGCTGGCCTTGAACTCACTATGTAGCCCAGGCTGACCTTGAACTCACTGTGACCCTCCTGCCTCAGCTTCCTAAGTGCTGGGACCACAGGCGCACACCACGATGCCCAGCCCTAGAAACTTCTGAAGTCACTTAATCAAGTGTTTCTCCAAATGTTCTCTCTACTGATAATCATTCTCAAAAAAAGAAAGAACGAGTTTCAGCGCAAACTGGGAAAGAGGCTAGAATGTCAGAAATTATATTTTCATTTAATGGGGCATCAAAATTCTAGGAATTTAATCCTTGCAAAATAAGTCTTTTTAAAAACAGTGATGAGATGGAAGCACACCTAGTCGTGGAAAATAACCCTACTTTTGAAACCAGTGAGCTGAGTGTGTTCACGAGGCTCATGCTCTGTACTTTAACAAGCACTGCATTTATTGATCACAGGAAATAGCTTGCAAATTAAAGTCAAAGCAGTGTCATTGACTGTGTAATACACTGGGCAGAATTTTACAGTTGTTACTTCTTTGCCAATATCCTTGCAAAATAATTTCCCCTTAACTTGATGGTAAGGAGATAAATTCTTCTCAGTATCGTTTTTTTTTCCTTTCCCAGATAAGGGCAAAAACCTCTGAGAAGCAACGCAGCTGCGGGCAGTGGTGCAGTGCAGTCAAAGGTCCTAGCTGACCTTCTAACACAGCTCTTTGCTGGCCCAGAATGGTCAACCTGGCCCAGGAGGCCCGTGTAAAAAGCACTGGTCTTTGGCAATATGTGTGTGGAGGAAGTGGTTTGAGGTGAACTTAGAGAAATGTACCAGGAATCCATCTTTCTAGCTCTACTGGCCACTTCTTAGGTCTACTATGGAGTTCCTGAGTTTATACCAGAGGCACAAGAGTCCTGGGAGGATAAGTTAGAAAATGAGTCTCCATAATCCTGGTGGGTGACTATGCTAAGCATGTTGAATAATTCCACAGTGGCCACCTCAGAGAGCATTTAATACAAATACAATCAATTAGAGAAGATAGGCATGATATCTCTAAGTTGCCATAGTCCAAAAAATCCATTACGTTAGTTGTGAGACTTTGAATGCTATGTGCAGTTCCCAGGCAGATCCCAGGTCAGCTTCCTGTCTGGATGCACACCCCAGGACACTTTAGCCTGCACGCGAGGCTAGCATGGCACTCAGAGGCCCTAAAGAAGAAGCAGGGATGCTTCTGAAGAGGACCTTCCTGTTCTGCAATGGGAAGGACTGGAGACCCCTCTGAGACCTGCTAAGGGGCTGCAGGACTTAAGGTTCCTCGGGCTCTCAAGGAGGCTTTCTAGCTCACAGTCAGGGATGACTTAGTGCTGGATTAAGGAAGACAAGGGCTGCGGGCAACCGGGTGAAAGGAAGGCCAGGGATTGTGAGGTCTGAGGGAGCCAGAGTGCAGACCCTGGGAAGCTGGTGTAGGCAGCACGCTCCCGCCTCAGCCTTCCTCTATTTTTCTCCAGGCTTCCCTTATTGTCTGTTTGTACATTTAAAAATTTTATTTTTAACTGATACATAAATACAAAAATTGTACCTGTTCACGAGATATCCCGCAATGTCTCAGTACATGCACATATTGTGTAAGCAAGCAGGTTAAAATATTCATTTCAAATATGTATCACTTGCTTTGGTGGAAACATTCGTACTATGTTACTTCTTTTACATGTGACTTTGTATCCCATCTCCTATGATAGTAATTCAATGATGCCATATTCACTGTGTTGGACCCATGGGGACAGCTGCTCACTCCTGTGTTCTCCCTGAAGTGGCTCTGCTAAGTAGTAGAGGCTCAGTAAGTATTTGTGAAACTGATAGCTAATTCCTGGTGTCCTCAGAAGGAGGTGGAAGACATTAGTATTTAACTGAGCTTCCAACTTTCTTTTTAACATATAAAATTGACAAGTAGCTATTTAAACTCTACAAACAGTAATTTCTAGAAGTAATACAATTAGTAGTCTATCCTCCATTTGCAACTACTTTGTATTTCTTCCAGACTCCGGACATACAGATGTCACAGGAGGCAGGCGCACAGCCATTATGACATTTTCTGGACTATTTTACAACCAGTAACAAGGAGAAACAAAATCATCTGGATCCTTACAGGCAAAGACAAAGAGCATATATGTAAGTTTCTGAGTACACTAGGGACCGAAAACACCAGTGGCTCTGTATTTCAGATGAACATTCATGCTTGTCAAATATGGAAACGAGGTGGCCTGGGTGACAGGGGAAAATCTGTGAGTGAGGTGAGGGGAGAGATGGCAGGAAAAGCATATTGGGACCACCACTGGCACAAGTGTTGTGTGAGAGAATCAGACGTGGGTGGGGAGAGGAGGATGCTGTCTCTTCTTCTACTCTATTCTTTCACCCTCCCATGGCTGAGGTTAAAGACAGCAGGTTTGAGGTGGGTTGTGGGGTGATCTTTACTGCTACTTACTCATGTTTGGATCAATTCAAGTTTCATCTCTTGTGCAAAATCTAGGTATTTTTCCTTTCCTCATCTCAACTAACCAAGGCGAGGTTTACTACTTCTTGGCCTCTCTTTGGCATATTTTGATAGCAAAGTTAACCCACTAGACTAGAAAGCTGTTATATTTGTTTTTCATGACTCTGGGAACAATTTAGAACAAAGATTTTGTTTCATTTGTCAGTGTCCCTAAGGCCTAGCAGAAAGCTTGCTGAGTACATGGATTCAGTGGGATCTGCTAATGCACACCTGGCAATACACAGAGAGGTTGAGAGAGAGGGCAGCTGTGGTCATGACTTAAGGGCCAGTGGCACAGTGGCTATTAAGGCCATGAGTACGAAAGAGCTAGCCCAGGGACATTATTTAGATGTGGAGGATTTGACTATGGAAACAGGACTTGTTGTGAAGAAGAAGGAGTCTTCAGAATTTGGAGCAGAATCGCGGAGAACAGTTTGGTAGAAGCCAAGGTGGGGGTGGGAAGCGAATCCTCGGAATTAAAGTGTGGTCGCTGGTACGACATGCCACTAAATTCCCAAATGAGGTAAGAAAGAGCAAAGGTGGCCCCTGGGCATGCACTGACATCTGGTGTGTCAGCACCAGGTGCCCCGTTAGGTGTGGAGAAAGACAGTGAACACGACTCTGATCCCACAGAAGTGAGCAAAGACTTTGTCAAAATAGTATAAGGAAGAACATCACTATACCTTTTATTTTCAAAGATTGTCTTGTGGGCAAATTCCTTTCCATAAGTCTGAAGGGTTTCTACTGTTGTGTTTTCCATGTAAATTTCTTTTCTTTGTTTCCTGACCAGGTGCCCTCTTGCAGCTGAAAGATAGAGGAACCAAACGAGTGTTAATCAGAAGAAATAAAAGAACATTACCTAAATGAGTAGGCACAAGTGGTTTCGACCATTTATATTGAGGATGAAAATGGAATTAAGGTAGCAAAGAGGAACAGTATATTTAAAAAATGGGATTCATCAACAGCTCTCTTTCAGGTGCAAGCTATGGCAATAGACTCACTAAAGAGCATCTTTCGAATTCTGGGGGAGGACTAAACGAACCTAAAACAATGGAGATTAGAAAAGTTGATGATACAGTATATACCATGCTTAAAGTTTGCTAGCACTGATTTTCCTTTTCTCTTGCTATGTTAATGGGAGAAAGTCCTTAGGGTCTATGTGTATGCTTTGGCCCTTCTTCCCAACCAACCTTGGGACCACATGTTTTTCAGAATTCTGATTTAGAAACATGATTTAAAAAGTAATATGGAGCAAACATACAGGCCATAGTGTTCCCACCTGGAGCGGCATGCTACAATCAAGCTCACTGTTATTTCTTCAGAAAAATTGAATGTTTTAACTAAGGGGAACAAACAGGACTGCAAATAACCTCCCTTCACATAACACATGTTTCTCGGCCAAATGAGTTAGGCAAAAGTTTTTTTTGGAGCTTTGCATTTCAGAATTGTGGATAAAGAATTAGATACCAAACTACAGAGACTGCATTTTGATGTCTTATTGAGAAGTTAACTACGTAAAATTCCAGAAGAGGAATCAATAACCCGTTACTGATCGGCAGGACTGGGCTTGGAATGTGGGTCTCTTCAGTATTAGTCAGCTAGTCTGTCCACTGGACTGTGTGGATGCCCCCATCAGTGGATCATAAAACTGACTGTGTGGGCTCAATCTAGCATTTAAAAATAAAGTGGAATAGACTAGAGAAGAAGATATTAGAGCACTCTGTTTGCATTATGTATGTAGGTATGCAGGCATATTTAGTTAGCAAGTAAGATATACTTTCTTACTATGTGTTCAGTAAAGAAATTTTGAAAGACATTGTACCAAGACTCTGTTTAAATTTAATGTCCTAAGGAAAGACAGAAAGCAAAATCCAAAGACTCTTAAAGCCTTTTAATAAAAAAATTGTGAAGGAAAGCATGGTAATAGATATTATTTCCTGAGAATTAATAAAAAGGGATGCCCTTTAACAAAATAAAATTCAATTAAGTTGTCAAACCTATGGCAAGTGTAACCTTTGAAACAGAGTAGGAAGTCTTATTGTCCGAAGCATTCTAATACTGTACTGCTTTCTGAGAGTCATAATTACATCAATCGCTTGTTGCAACTTGGACAATAGGTCAACTGCATTTCATGAATCCTCAGTAGAAAACTTAAAAATTAAATTATTTGATTTAAAACAAAACATTCACTCAAATATTAAAAGTGTCAATCACCAAAACAATCTAGTTTAGATTTAATATAGAGAAAGTATCCAAGCAATACAGGCTGGGAATAAATACAAAAGCAACATGAGATTGGAGGTCTGTATGTAGGACCAGCGGATTCCAACTCATTTGTACATAAGCACGATGCTTGTCACAGCATGAGGTCTGAGTTATTACCTGACTGTAGGATTATAGCACTTTCTTTCCTTTTCTGCTGGAGTTTTTGGTATCTTCTTGAACCCAAGAATGCCCTCACATAGGCTTGAATTAGGATGAGCTTGTCAATGGCTTCCTTTCGCATTAGATTTAACTGTTCCACGTGGTAATATTTAAGGAACACCTTAAAAGAACAAAAATACAATACAAACAAAACCATGCCACACACGTGGGAAGCGCTCCTGTGCTCCACTTTGAAGGGCAGACTGCCTATTAAATCTTCTTTAGATTCGGGAAATTATCATCTTTCACTTCCTTGGCCTATAGGTAGTTATGACAGAATAGACTTTTATGCTTGAAGAAACCACTTTCTTGGAGGAGGAAGTAGAAGATGGCGGCAATATTGCTTATTTACAACAGGTAACCTTGATATTTTGTTGGATGGGACAAAAAGAATGAAGAACGTTGAGCTTATCTTTTAGAAAAGTTTCAGCATCACATGTTGAGCTGATTTATGTTTTAATAAAATTTTTAGGCAATGACATTTCCAAATTCAAAAATCTCACCCAGCTATTTATAAGACAGAAGACAGTTATAATCATTTATTCATCAAATGGTCATTAAAATATCTATTATTTGTACTCATCTGGTGGGAGTACAGAGACTTGTCAGTGGAGGGACTAAGGCAGAGAGAGGCCCCAGGCAGTTTTAATTAACAATATTGCCACTGGACCCCCAGGCCACCAAGGAGAACAGAGGTTTGACTCGGGTCAGTTTAAAATCAACAGTAACCAGAGTAAGGGCGGAGCCTGAACACCCCAGGTGTTCTTCTCATGGAAGAATTTTTAGTTTCACCCCGCACCCTGAGGAAATAGAAAGTACTTTTCAAATTTTAACAGTTAACTTTCCTAATGAAAATCACCTCCAAGAGTTTATTGACTCCATCAACAAAGCCGCATGAATTCCAGCTGCAGGGCTGAGTCACCTTTGAATTCTCGGAGCTTTCCACCGAACTCGAGAGCCTGCCCCACAGGCAGAGTTTAGCATTATAGATTTTGATTGAATTCAGTTTTAATTTCTACAGGACCCAAGACGTTAATATATTTAGTCTGTTCTGATGTTGACAATTCATTTAAAATTCAATTTGTTTAAAAAGGTCATCATTTTTTCCCCTGCATAATATTAGAAATGTTCTTATATTAAATACTTTTATCCATGTTAATGAGCTGGAAAAGGTGAAGTGGAAAAATACAAACAGCTTTAAAATGCTACTTAAATATCATGTAGAACTGGAGGGGCAAAGGGCCTTTTTACACGTTAAAACTCCATTTGAAATCAGGCGTGTGTTTCTGACCATAAATGATGAGATTTCGGCCTGACAGAATTTGCCTTTGTGAGCTGAAAGAAATGGGTGTAAAACACACACGCACTTCCTCAGCGCCCGGAATTTTACCTTGCTAAATATTAAAGTAAATAAGTATCGATGAATATGCGGACACTCAGTCTAGGCCTGACAGTTGGCAAGCAGCCCTCATTGGGTCACGGAACTACCCCGTCACTGAGTCTCCCGGTAACCTCTCACTGATGCACATCTCTGTGAGGAGAAGCTGGCCTTCATCCTGCTGAGGTAGCCGAAGTCGTTGTTCTCGATGGCTAATCCGGGTATCTCGACTTTCCTGCATCCCTTCCTCTTCCTCCCTAGCGTTACCTTTAGTAGGCCCTGAGTTGCAGTCAGTGTACACTGTGCCTCGTGCATTTCCTTCTCTCTGTCTCGCGACACTTTGATGGTGGGTGAACATCCCAAGGCTTGTTATCTCCAAGCAGCCGTGTTACTGCCTCCGTATTCAAGGTCAGTTATGGTTCTCTTACACTTTCTTCTCTAAGGGGTTAAATAAGTTAAGGTCTGATAGGGTCTCAAAGCTAAAGAGAAAAACTCCCATATCCTAACATGTAGTGTAGAAATAACTGAAAATTTTACTTCAGATAAGCTTCACATTTTTAACAGAAACAAATTTGAGAATTAATACATAAAACAGAAATACTATTTAGAGCACTATGATTCTCTAAAGATTTTTCCCCCTCTATTTGGTGGTGATTAAAATAGACAAAATATATTAGTCTATATTCAGTACCATTTGAAGTTATGTTCATTGTAAATGTTTTTTGATAAATATTCAAGATAAATATTTTCTTGTATTTAAATTTTTTTCTTTTTAAAAATTCAGTGGCCCCTCGAGTTATGACTGGCCTGACATAAAAAGGGCTTGGGTTAACTAGGTTATGGAAGCTCATCTGTCTCATTATCATGCACCCAGGTAAACATCCAGATCTCAGCTGTACTGATTTACAACCAGCTTGAGTCACAACCAGCCCTTGGAACTGATTGAGTTTGTAAGTCAAGAGTCAACCGTACATGTTTTCAGTGCACGATGTCTACATTCGTCTTTGGGAGTGGGTACATGTGCTTTGATACAGCTGGTTTCTTTTTTCGGTTCCCTTCCTCTTCCCACCCACCTCCCTCCCTGTGCCTCTAATTTCCTTTTCCCGGCTTTCATTCTTGTTATGATTTTTCCTAGCTTATGTGCATGTCATACGGTGCTTCATTCTCTGAGGTTACAGGTTCCTGTACATGGCATATCTTAATTGTAGTTAGTCCTCCCCACCTGCAGTCTCCTGGACTCCCTTCCCAAAAGGAACCTTTGTGAATTTGTAAATATCATCCTCTATTTAAAAAACAGAGATTCAGTAACTTAAAAGCTATGATATTTTCTATCACTGTAAAATGCTGTAATCCTCAGTAAACACAATGTAATCATTCAGTTTTCCCATAAAAATTACATGAAAACATTACTTTTGTTTTTCCAAGAGCCCAGTTATCAAGACCTGCTTTTTCCAGAATGGCAGCACAGGTGTCAGGGCTCACAGGGGGCTCCTCGCTGGACTTGTAGCAGAGCACGTAGTACCTGGAGTGGGGAGAGGTGCCAGTTAGTGCCCTGGAGTGGCCCAACCTCTCAGCACCTGGCAGCCATGGACAGCGCTGCCTGAGCGAAGGGAAGAGGCTCAGGCTTGATGTGAGTGGACCTGAGGCACCCTCAGAACAATGGTGTAGACTGATTCCTCCATGAGTGCTGCTTGCATTGCTGCAGCCCTGGGAGCAAACTACCATGCGGTGTGCCAAGTGGGGAATGAAGCCAGCTTCCGTGGATTCTTAGTGTGAGACTTTATTGGAAACAACCACAGTAAAAACCTAGTACTACAGTTTGGATTGTAAATACCTGCAAAGGTCCCACGTGTTGAAAGCTGAATTATGCCACAAGAAAAGAAGTGAGGCCCAGTGGGAGGTCTTCAGGTCACTGGGGTGCACCCTTGAAGGGGGCACTGGGACACCAGCCCCTTCCTTTTCCTCTTCTCTTCCCTCACAGGTGAGCACAATGAGCCCTCACAGGCCCCCAAAAAACAATGGGGCCAAGGAACCACGGACTGACACTCCCAGACTGTGAGCCACAGTAAACCGCTTCGCCCATTAAGCTGATTATCTCAGGAATTGGTTATAGCTCCGGAGAGCTGACTAAACACAGTATCCTGTGCAAAGGAAGTTCACACTGCATAGTTTCACTTGAGACTATTCCTCGCCGCAAAGCAGAAAACAGACTGCACAAAAGGTCAGCGGAAGTTTGCATCCTACGAAGAGGGTTAGTCAAAGCTAAGCCTGGACAGAGGGGCTAATTAAGTCCCATTTACGCCTCCACAGGACCTAGGCAAATTGTTCTGCCTTCCTGCAAGAGTCTATGCCAATTTAGATGACAGCTTTCAGATTAGTGACAGAAAAATTTAACCTTTTAATTCTGGAACTTCTTGTTATTCAGAACAGTTATTCATGTATTTTCTATATAGTTTCTATGTAGTTCTTCCTCATTTCTTATGCAGTAATTTGCTACTTCATTAGAGCACTGAACTTTGAAATGTATATATACACTAAAAGAATTTATTCTTGTTTCTGACATTCTAAAAAATAAATATCTTTTGAATACATCATTACAAAACTAAATACATCACTATAAAACTAGATCGATTTAGTTTTGCTTATGGTTTATATTGTAAAACCACAGTTGTTTTTAAAAGCACGAAGTTATCCAGGCATTGAAGGCTCCGATTTTAACCCAACTGTTTTTCTCACTTTATCTTTTGTCACTTTACTCAGGTCCATTCTGCCAGTCCAGGCTGATGCCCTCCGTCCTGTCTCCTGCAGAGCTCCTCCCTGCCCTCCCCATGAGCTGCACCGCGGTAGAACCCAGCCTGAGGCCCTCTTCTGATACTCTTTCAGCTCTGGGAGATGTTCTTCCCTCCTCTGCATGCTTGCCCTGTGTGTGCCACTCTCCAGACTTGGTACTGATGGCCTTGCATTGCTTGTTAACTTTCTATGTCTGTGCTCTGATATCCCTAACTGGCCCATTAATTCTTGACGATAAGCCAGTTTTAAAATTTTATGATTCCCACATTTCTGAACACAGTGGCTCGTACATGTCCACACACACACACAATCACTGAAATTTAAGGGAGATTATATTGATATTGCACTCGTAATACTAATATTAGTATTCAAGCAACTTACAAGGATTCTGTCTCCTAAAACATGAAACTTAGAAGGTCAAATTTTACTTTTAACTTGAAATTTAAAACTCTTTTGTATCTAGTATTTTGGGGTTACTTGCTTTTGTGGACAGAATGTAGAATGTGCCTTTGGACTAATAAGAAATTCCAATAGTATTTATTTATTAGCTTTGGTAGAAAATTCAGCATGATCTGTAGTGAGTAAACTCAATGATTAGATGTTGGTTACATTTCTGAATTCTAAAACTTAAAAGTTTAAAGTTGGTCTTAAACTACTATAGAATTTTTCTAACCTAAAAGCTATTATATTGATGTAATTGTGATATTCCTAAACACTAGTAGGATTTTCTTGATTTCAAGGCATTCAAATGAATATTCTTTCATTTCCAGTTTTGTAAAGAAAAAACACCAAGAACTACTAAGAAATGCTGAATATATGAAGATTAGCAGAGAGAATCAGAATTCTCACTGCATTTAGTCAGGGACTCGGTTACCCCAGTAATTTCTCTATCATGCTAGACAGAAATCACAATTTGTCGTACAATCACAAAATGAGTCTTTGCGTTGTTCTTAATATTCATTTGTATAATTCGCAAGAGGCTGATGCTTTCTTTAACACTAGATTTCACCTGGAAGTTCATATTTGAAAGTGAAATTTATTTAAATTTAATGGCCAATAGAAATCATACAATTGATAACTATAAGGAACACAGACATCCAAATGTTAAACTCACATGATATTGAACCTTTCCATTACCATCAATATATTAACTCATAAAATAGAATTACCATCTGGGGCCTTTACCCACCAGATGTTGGAAGAACTTTCCCCTCCCAGGGGTGACATATGAATGTATCTGCAGACATTGCCACGTGTCTCCTGAGGGGTAGGATCCTCCAGGCTGAGAACTGCTTTCACAGGTCTCATAACACATGGCAGGGTCAGGATGCGAACCTGGGTTGTCTGGCTGCTCAGCACAGAATCTTGACCTTCCAGCGTCTGCCCACATCTTTCCCTACCACAGAGGGCCCCCCAGCCCAGTGAAGAGCCACATGCTCTTTTCAGTGTTTGCTCATTTGCGTGAACAAGAGGCCTCTCTCCTTGACCACCGAGGGAACTCTTTCCTATTTGGTTTCCTATTTTTCTGAGGGATTTTAACAAAAGCTATACAATGGCAACTTAAAGCAATCCACATACCGCTTTATAAAGTTGGCGAAAAGTATCCGGTGTGAGTATCCCAGCCTTCGAATTCTTGCTGTTTCCAGAATTCCTGTGTAGCGAAGCTGTAGCAGGACCTTCTCTCTGTCATACTTTCTCGCCTGACGCTCATTATTTGGTTTGATGCAACGGACAAAATGCGGTTGGCCCGCCACCATTTTAGACAACAGGTCCATCAGGGAGTACTACGACATACAATAAAATAAATTTCCCGGTGTAGCACACATAAACTTAGGAGCCTGCAGGTCCTTTCACTACAGTGATAACATTTGAAAGTTGGATGTTAACAAATGCTCATACTAACATAGTAAGTGGAGGGAGATCTAATTCAGTGCAAATTTTACTTGCACTTTATCTTGAAGATTACAGATTTGCTTATAAAAAGGTGGAAGTAGTAAGACAGAACTCAGCTATTAAAAGTTTGCCTATAAACTCTTTTAGGCAACTATTGCTTTTTGGGGGTACTGGGGATCATACTCAGGCCCTCGTGCTCGCAAGGCAGGCGTGGTCTTTAGGCAACTTTAATTAACAGGAAAAATTAGTTCTGACATGATTTGTGAGTAACTGTAGTCTTTCATGCAAACTTACTGAACTACACTATTTAGACACACAATTTAATTCAGTTTATAATTTTCTTCTTCAGAAAGTTTAAAAAGTACACACTTTAATCAGGGTCCCAATCACCTCCTCTGTCTTCAAAACACAGAGATGTTAATGCAATTTAATATTTAGAGCACAGAAATAAAAATAAGCAAGTTGTTACTCACTGTGAATATTCTAGTTTACTTATTTGCTTATTTATTTTAGGATAATTTTTTGTTAATAAGTATAATAAATAGTACCTTATTTAAAGAATGGTCACAGATGGAGCAATAAAGAATAATGTATTAGGATGATCACAGTTCACTGAATGTAGAATTCCAGCAAATCAGTATCTCAAGGGCCAGGATCACAATTTATTGGCAAAATAATATTTAGACATGGACAGTGCTGAAAAATGTATCTCTGCATTAGAAATGTAAAAGTCTAGGCAGAGAGTGACAAAAAATACTGAAATTGGACAACTGACAAGGCACTGAATTTGTATGCCCTCCTCTCGGATCAGATGTGATCTTTCCAAACAGCTGTGTCTGCCACTTTGGAGCGCCTCTGCCTTACATTTATCTGTGAGTCATCGGTCTCTTCGTCACACAAACATCTGATAGGCACTGCGATGCAAAGGGAGTACAAATTTGTTGGCTTTTGGAGCAGGAGCACATTGCAATTTAGGCACTGGGTTTGCTTAGGGACCAAGGCATGGTGTACTATTCATTCTTGTCTGTGGCATGAAAATAGCTTTAAGGACATTACATGCTGGGTAGAATTCTCTTCTATCATTTTTTCACTTCAGCCTGAAGATGAAAATGATCTCATGAACTAACTTGGTTTAAATGTACATAGAGAGCCAACGGCAGAGAGTTGTGACAATAGTGTGGATATAACTCACATAAACGAGAAAACAATCTTCCACTAAACACTTTCAGTGATTCTCCTGTGCCTCCTTGAGGTGAGGGGAACGTATCAGCAGCTGAGGTTAAGACACTCAGACACACTATGGGTGGCTACGTGTGCTCGGTCTGCTGTGAGTTAGGGCTCAGAGAGCACCCGATCAAAGTATTTGGATAGTTTAAGGAGTACTTCACGAAGCCCTCAGAGAACTGGATATATTCTCTGCACACTCACAGTAAACTTAATCCACGTTCCCCTCCCTCCCTCACATTAAATTATATGACTGATGATCTCCCAGGGTTAGATTATATTTTCTTCATGTTGCTTGGGTGGCCAATCTGATTTTATCAAAAGAGATAAAAATAAGGGAGAACGGTCTAGAATATGGGGAAAATGAAGTGTTTCTTGCATTTTCTTTCTCCGTATTGTCCTGGGCAGGTCTCCTTGGTGCTATGAGGAGCCAATTCCTTGACTTTTCTCCTCACGCCGTTCTTACACTGGCTTTTACCACCCTGCTGAGATACCAGCTCATGTATATGCAGGGAGGCATGGACTAGAGATGTGCACTCCACCCTGTGCCTGCAAGTCGTCCTGAAATCGCTTGGGAAGAGGAGGAGAAGGACATTGATAGCACTGAGTTAATAAGTCTTTTAGATTTTATCCTAGTAGAAATGCATTTGATTCTCTGGACAAATTTTAATCAAGGTATAGACTTCTATTAAGATTATCATGGAAAAACAAAAATATCAACAGTTTTTGGCAGTACATTCTGACATGGCCTGGGTCTAACGGATACTTTAATGGGATACAATGAATATTCTCTTTTGCTAAAAGTGCTCTGATACTTTATACCAGATTGTGTTATCTATAACTCATTTACGGTAACATCCTTAAGCACAGCACGGCATAATGAAGTATCTTACTCTAAAATACGATGCCACTGTCTGTGTTTTCATATTGGTTGTTTCCAGGGCATGATGGGTGGCTTCTCTGGTTTCATCCTAAGGAGACCAAGGAAGAGAGTGAGGCCACAGTGCCTATTATGTTTTCTGACCTATAGGTAGCACGTAGCATTTTTCTTCAGATTATCTTAATTATGCATTTAAATACACAAAACTGTGCCATGTGGCCCATATTCATACTTCCAGGTAATTTTTTTTTGTTAGCTGTACTGTTTCTTTGGTCAACTGTAAATGCAGGTATTTCTGACCTTTGCTGACAGATACAGTTTTAGCTAGTTTTAGTGTAACGTTTAAAACTATTATAGAAAGATGTAGGAGTATGAGAAACACATGACTTTTATTTGCTATGAGTAATGTGATGGTAACAAATATCCATTTAAACAGAAAAGAAACAACAAAGGGAGAAAAATTAAGGAGAAGCTGTGTAAGAGCACACAAATATTGCTAAATGTTGAATTCTAGACTCACGAAAAATGCATTTTCTTACCTTTGTCAAGTTCACTGATTTTTCTGAAGTCTTCATTTCATAGTTTATTATATTTTTAGTTTTGGATAGTGGCAGGTTACCTGTGGGAATATAAATAAAAATAATTTATCTCCTAGAATTTTTAATGACTAAATGTTTTTTTATCCCATTTGATTATTATCCCAGTTGAACTTATACTATTGAGACTCAGATGCTTAGTTAACTATTTATGGGAACAAAAATAAAATAGTTATATGAAAATTGGCAACAAACTTTAAATTCGGACCCCCACTGAAACAAAAACAGAAACACCAAAACTTCCAGTTTGGAAAAGAGAAAGGGCAGAGGTAAGAGTTGTATTTAAAGTTGTATTTTTCCAACTGTGAGACAATATGAGGTGATTATTAGAAAAAGAGTAATTTTCTTATTTTGTGTGTGTTAAATGGCAACCAAGAGTTTTCTAAAACACAAGCCAATCTTTGCTATGAGCCTTGAAGAGTATGTGAAATATTAATTCACATGAGGTGCTTGTAAGAAAATCTAGTGTGGTTGGAAGAAACGGCCATTTTCAGTTTAGCATTCAGAAATCCGTGCTTCATGTGAGTGGCTACATAAAAATGCACATTCCAAGGCAGGGAAAGTTATGGGCAAAGAAGCCAGAAAGACTTGACCTGGACTCTAAACTGTAAAAGTTGTTTGCTGTCAGGTCATTTACTTAGTGTCTGATCTGTCCTCTGAATCCATGGACCGGGGATGCTTTTACTGTAACTCGTCTGGAAGGTAAGGTTACCTTCAGAATTTTGATGAAATGTGGCTGTTTTCTGGCACATGGTGGCCCATGTTCCCTGCTCTCTCATCACCCTACTGTGATGGCCAGTCTGACTGTCAGCATGACCCGCTGAGAGACTGGCCAAGCTGCCTTCTGGGTGTGTGGAGCGGGTGGTGGTGGGGACTATCTCTGGCCTCCTGCTCTTGGCTCTTCCCGGTTCCCTCCGCTTCCTGCTGGCCATATGAGCTGCCTTCCTGTGCTACACAGCTCCTGCCTTGAAGCCAGAGCTAACCATGGATTTAAACCTTTGAAATCCTCAGCCAAAGTAAACCTTTTCTCCTTTAAATTGTCCATGTTAAGTATTTTGTCCAAGCAATAAGAAGGTGACTAATACAAGCCCCACACATGATAAACCAACTAATAGACGATCCAAAAGTTTACCCCTCCAATGGTAATGTTCAAACTATCTCCAACATTCAGGATCACCTTAGAGAGATGATAGCTGTTCTTGCTCCTTGTTTTAGGCTGAATATTTTTGGCTAAGCCTTCCCTTTTCTTTTTTTCGCAGTCGCAAAGGGTTGGCCTTAATATGATGGCGCAGGAAGGAACCTTGCCTGGGATGTTTCTGGTGGTGCCTCTGATTTGCTTTCTTTCTCCTTCCTTCATTATTTTGGGAAAAGGGCTGAGATGGGTACGCACCATGGCCTCCCTCCTGGGCTGAAACTGTGCACATTTCAAATGCAAGACTCAAGTGACTCCAGCAGGTGGACAGAGACAGTAATGTGATCTTCAGAGATCTTCATTTACTGTCATTTTTTACTATTACCAAAGACAGTTTTAAAAACACTTCAATGAAAAACAAAAAAATTATGACAGCCTTATGGGATCTCTTAGAAGCACGATAAATATACAAATTCTAGGAACACGTAGGCTAAACCTATTACTTAAATTAGTCCACTCAAATTTTAAGGTTATCTGAAAATGAAAAGACTAGAGGAAATTTAGAAAAAGGGGAATAACTTCACTTAGCAAAATGTATATATTAGCCATTAAATTACTTAACAAAGTAAGTAAAAAGTCTTTAAAAAAATTCATCTGTGCAGGGCAACAGAAATTAAAATTGGCATAGATCTTAATTTCAGAAAATGTATCTATTTGCTTTTATAGTTGATCTGATGAACAAAACTGCGATAAAGCAAACCAGAGATATGAGCAGCAAGGAACTATGGTACATTCCCCTTAATAGTGGGTGAGATAAGTTCATACATGAAACCATAAGGCAAATGACCATGGTTTATTTTAGAATCTTGGCTACGTCAAGGTAACTTAAAACTGTCCATTTCAAGATTTTTATAAGCTACACTTATCAAGAAGTATGGTATTGCCATAAAGATAGGTAAATATCAGTGACAGAAAGGAGTCCAGTCATTTGAATGGTGTCAAAACATTCAGTGGGGGATAATTTTCCTAACAAATGGTGCTACAATGTTTGGAAAGTGACAGAGAGGGTTGGGGGAAGGATTACAAAATGTCATTAGGATACATCTTGCGTGCTGATGAATATATTCACCATTAATTTTGGTTTTGTAACAGCATGGTGTGGGACCATGTCTCACAAAGTCAAAGAATGAACTCAAGGACAAAGGAGGTAGACAATAGGAATGTTTATTAAGAAGAGAGAAATAGCTTGCAATAGTCAGGGGGGGACTCAAAGGTGGGTTGCCATGGGACTCTCTGTCTAGGAGTTTTTATTAAAAAAATCCTCAGAGGGCCAGGGGTTTAGCTCAGTGGTGCTGTTGCCTGCCTCACAAGCATAAGGTTCTGAGTTCAATTCCTGGTACAAAAAAAAAAAAAAAAGAATTGGGCCTATGAGGAATCAAGGCACATAGAAAGCAAGTCTGCAGGTCTCTCTTGGCCTCCAACCTATCTAAGTGGTTTATTATTAAAAGTACAAAGTAAGAGGGGAATAATGTTTTTCAGACACATAGGAGCAGAAATTGTCACTGTGAAGTTTTCATAGTGATCATCTACCACCTTGCTTATTACCCTGCTTCTTATGTTCCTGGACTTAACTGTCCACCTGGTTCTTGTTAACTCTTGGCCTCAAGCTCCTGCTTGTTCAACTAAGGCCTGGTCATTCTAGACTTTATCCGAGGCACTATCTTCTGCCTAACCTGTCTGTAATAGTGATACCTGCATAAGTGTTGTGTATGTAACAAGTTTTGCTGGTTTTACCCCAGTTAGAATTCAATAAAATTATTAAAAAGTATAGAGAATAATTGTAAATTTTAGTGAAGAGAACCAGTCCAAACTATAGTTTATTTTCATGTAAACCCAAACATAAGGCTGTGCATGGCCAATGGAATGAAGACGTGTGATTTTTAAAAATTATTTTGAGACAGAGTCTTGCTCTGTATTCCAGGTTGGCCTGGAACTCCCTATGTAGCCAAGGCTAGCTTTGAACTCATGCTCTTTCTGCCTCAGCCTCCCAAATGCTGGGATTACAAGCGTGTGCCACCACATCTGGCTGAACTTTTAATCAAAGAGCTCACTATGCCTCACTATGAGGCAGAATCTCAAGCAACCAACCTCCTGAAATCACCCACTTTGGACCACAGCAGGTAGTTCTGGACCCTTTTGAGGAGAGTGTACTTTTCCAGGCAGCTGCTAGCAAATCATCTCATTTTCTGGTAAATGCCTCCAGCACTTTAATAAACAATGTAGATTTTTTTGTATTCATATATATTTTTTTCTCAGATGACTGGGACAGAGATTATTAATAAATGAATACTCAGTGAGCTGAAAACAAACTCATATGAAAAATTGGGGATTATATTCACACCCATAAAAGAGACGGAAACTACTTCATTGGGTTTTGAGTAACCTTCTGAGCTAGTGGAAATCACCTCACCTGTTTTGGTCAGAGGGTGGCTGACCAGTTGCCGAATCACACTGTTTTCTGATGACCTCAGAAGCAGCACGATATCAGTTGGAAGGGTGTCTCTGTTTTTAGCCAAGAACCCACTTGCGTTGTAGAGGACCTGTGACAAAGGGTGCTCTGTGATGACCACAGTCAGAGTTGTCGTCACCAACGAGTTTGCTGAGAGCTCACTCTTTGCTGAGCAGCAGGGACACAAAAACTACAAAGGTGATCCCTTACAGTTTGGCTGGAAAAGTGAACTTCTCCACATTTAGTGTCTTCTACAGGAAAACAAACTTGTGTCTCACTGGTCTTATTTGGACTGCGGTTTGATTCTTCCCCTTACACTGGAATCTGTTTCTTTCGCTGGAGAGATGAGAAGCAGTTGGTACCAAGGCATTCCTGATTCTATGCTAACTCTGACTTGGCTATAATTGGTTGTTATCTTAATAGTGGTGGGCAAACACATTGTGGGTGTTTGTGTTTCTGGTACTTCTAAACTTTTAAGGCATCTTGAAGATGAGAGTAATCCACAGACGTCTGAAGAATAACCCAGTAGGGTGGTTGTTATGGGTTGGATTATGTTCCTCCAAATTCCTATCAAAACTCTGTGCATGCATACAGAAAAAGAGAAAACGGAAAAGAGGCCACAGGAGGACGGCCAGAGAGCAGCTGTCTGTAAGCCATGAAGGAGCCACAACCAGATGCCACTTTGATCTTCGGCTTCTAGGATCCAGAACTGTCAAGAACATAAATTTCTGTCATTTGAGCCCCCCAGCCTATGATATTCTTGTCATGCAGCCTGACCAGACTAAAAGACTTGTTTAAAAATACTGGATAAAATAGTCATTGGTGATTATTGATGCAAATTCTCAAAGGAGGCCTCTGGAAAAGTTTATGCTGAAAGTCATGAGAGAGGCTGTCGTTTTAAAGCTTTAAGGTCTCTATTTTTAATGACAAAAGTCTGTGGAATATTGACCAATGTGAAGACTGCCAAGAGACAGGGCGCTAGCAGTTCTGGTCATTTTACTTTTATGTATTTCTCATTTTTTCCCATTATTTGATCTGAATATCTTCTCAACCTTTACTTGCAGCCCTCCAGTATGTATGGCATCCTTCTGAGGGACTAGGCCATTATTCTCCACAGACAGAGGGAAGGAGAGCATCCCCCGGGTGTGGGAAAGAGATCTGAGGCTGCTCTGGTGTGTGAATGCATCTCTATTGATGTGTGCACATTTTCCCCTCCAACTATGCAACAGTCCAGCAGCCAGCTCCACTTGTCTGGGCTAGCTCTGCTCTCTGTTTTCTGTCACTGAAAGGGAAGAGAGACAAGGGATGAAATACACACACGCACGCACACACACACACAGAGCATCTAAAGTCTGAAAAGCACAGCTTATGCAAAAGGTCCTCAGCTATTATTACAAAAAGAAAAAATTAGGTGACCATCGCCAGCTCGTCACTCACAGCCAAATCTCCTGATCAGAAGGATAAACCTTTTGAGTCTTGGTTCCTTCTTTCCTTTTTTCTCTCAGTTTCTTAGTAAGAGTTCCTTTAGAAAACTAGAACTTACTGTCTTAGGTTTGTCATAGACAAGGATTTGTTCTTTCAGGCAGACTGCAGGTGTGTGCCCTGCGCTGTGAGTGGCCTGAAGGTGAATGGCTCACAAAGGCCAGGACAGACTGCAGGGTGCTGGGGAGCAGAAGTAGGGCCTGGTGGGGACAGAAATCGCTGGCTACTTCATTATAACTGTCTACTGCTATTTTGGGGCTTAATTTCCATGGCAACCCTCATTATTTGATAGAAGGCTAAACAGAAAACTAAGTTATAATTCTTGAGAGGTCTTACCTTTCCTGCATAATGGTAAATTCCAAAACTAAGTTCCATTCTTTTGGGTCTCCAGAAGTACTGTGATTTTAGGTTACCTTCAAATTTTTCTGCAGAAAAAAAATGTCAGAAATTAAATTCCAATACCATGCATGTAGAAGATCCTCAGAAAATACTGACAGTCTGAATCATTTCTTTTACCACATTGTACAGTGAGCAAAGGAAATTTTATGTAGCTAGTGTAGGCAGATTTGGAACGTTAGTATAAATGGTAAAGCAAAATCATGATGGTTTAGAGCAGTCGTCAGATCTTACATCAGAGTCATCCTTAACGTTTGTTCACACGCAGGCTGCTGGGCCTCACCCTCAGTTCCTGACTGAATAGGTCTGGAAAAGGCACCAACAGTTCATGTTTAACACGTGCCCAAGTGTTGCAGATGTTCCTGGCTCGAGAGCCATGGTTTGGGAATCACTGGTCCAGAGGGGAGGAACTACTTTGAGGCCATCCAGCCAAGGAGCCTGAGAGGCTGAGTTTGCTGCCCAGCCACACAGCCGGACTTTGGTGGTTTGTCCATCCTTCCATTTGAAGGTCGTTACTGATTACACAGGAAGCATGAAAAATAGTAACAGGAAGTTACACTTCTGTAACAGTTTTAAGACACTCAGAAAACTTGTCATTCCATGTCCTAGAAAGGACCTTTTCATATATCCAACTGACTGCTATTAAAATATTTTTCGTACAACTTTGTTTTTTTTTTTTTTTTTCCATCTGGAACTGTCCAAGTAGAAGGCGGAATAGGTCGATCGGTGACTCAGGAGGAAACAATGCCATAAGACTCAATGGTGAAAAAACAAGATCTGCACATCACCAAAAGTAAGAAAAAAGTGATTTTAAATATTCTGCAAGTATTTGTTAAAAATAATGACTATCTCCCATCACCAGGGGATATGGTGTTCCACATTAGAAAATGATTTTCTCACTTGCCTGAAAACTCTCAAGGTTTTTCCTTTCTTAAGTGGGACTTTTCCATTTTAACTATTTTGGGCGATAATCTCCTTAAATACATTAGGCACATCTATGCCTTCTCAAACAGAAAAAACAAATCCATTAAATCTTTGTTTGATGACTCAGGGTTATCACCATAGACATTTATTAATGTGCTGAAACACAGAGGTTGTTAAGGTGTTGGAGGCTGTCTCCCTCTGTTCAGTACACGGGTCAGACATTGCAGATGGATTTGTTTCCTGCCTGCTAGCATTTTCTTTTGAAATTCTAGGTCTGTCTTTGCTCTGCCCACCAAACTCTGATGTGGAGTTGGATAATTTCTGAGATAATTTCTATCCTGAGATTCATTTTGTGGCTGGGCTCCTGACATAAAATAAGAATAAAGCCAATGTCTAACCTTGTTTAATTATCACTAGACATTTCATGTTATCATAAACACTCTCTAATGCAGGTATGAGATGCAAAGTCTCTTCTTTAAAGTTAGATGTGCAAGGTTTGTGACAGTTATTTTCTCCGGGATTATTTAAAGTAATTAAAAAAACACAGAGTTATATGACTGCATTCCTAGAACCATAAAATGATACTGATTTACATCTCACCTATAAGAGTCTGGTCAGTGGCCTTGGGAAATCTACTTTCTTCATCCAGTAAGGACAATAAGCCCATTGGCTTCTGCAGAAACATATCTAAGAGGGGGCGGTTATCTTCATATTCAATTACTCTAGCATCAACATCTTCATTGAGATATTCATTCTATAACAGGTCATGACACAAACAGAAAAATTCACTTAAAATTGTGTGGATTAGGTACACCTTAAGAGTAACTACCTACAATTGTACTTTACAGACATTATAATAAATTGTCACCTATGGCATTGTCCTTAAACAGAGGGTATCATTTTAGTTTTCTCTCCAAAGAACTTCTAGTTCATTAAAATCAGCACTGACTATAGTCAGGATAATAACAAGAGGATTTCTAGTCTCTATTCTAGAATTACAGATCTCTCAGTTTTCAAATTTTAGGAGAATGTTAATGAAATGTAATGACTATGTTCTAGACTTTATAATACATAAATTATGCATATCAGGGTTACATTTTCCCTATTGGGTCTCTCAGGAAAATTGACACAGCTTTGAAATTATTATTTCAAACATTAGGTTTTAGTAAGGTGGATAACTGGGCCACGGGAACAACCAAGGCTCTAGAACCAAGGACACACACACAGTTTCACATCCGGGCTGGGCCACTTCACTGGGCGTCTAATCCATCGGAATTTTCTTACTGTCTAAGCTTCTCTCTTCTCCTCCGTTTAAGGGGGTAACAATCCCCATCTCAAAAGTAAACACACAGGGTGCACTAATAATCACGTGCTACTGAGTATAAGATGCATAAGTAAGGATAACCACAACGACTGCTGAACTTCGGCATCAGCACGGTGTAGATGCTAATGACCCGCCTTAGAGAAGGACATGAGGATGGAGTGTGTCCAGCTGTGTTCCTCGGACCCTGTGTCCACACCACTCCCCTGGCCCTGTGCCAAAGTCTGCACACACATGCTCTGAACCACAGCTGACTAGTGGAGCTTGTGGTGGTGGCGGTGGAGTCGATGGTTTTCCAGTGATGAAGCAAACTCTGCCACCAGGCTCAGGTATGGAATAACTGCTGACCAGGGAACACGTCTCACCCTTCTTACCCGCTTAGGTTATAGATACTTTTCCCAAGCATTGAAATATATTCTTTAATTTCTGACCTTCTTACATGTTTAGTTGGTGGGCATTTCTCACAACCACTTTAATATGTTAATTCATTGCACATCCTGTAACAAGGCACTGTGGTGCACGATGAGGAGGTGTCTAAAGCAAGTATGCTGTCGCGGCAGAGTTAAAACAATTTGGGTGATAACACAAGGTGACACGTGGTAGATAGATGCTAAGTATAATACACCATACCCATTTAGCGGAAGACAATTTATTTCTGGCAACTTTGGAATTGAGCCAGTGGAAGGAAGGTGGGGGCTGAAACACTGACTATGGGAGGAGTCTTGTGAAGCTGAAATATTTCAAGGGTGTCGTGAGAGAAAAGAAGTGTATTTGTGTTGTTCTGCTTCCTGTGGTGCCAGGGATTGGACTCAGGACCGGGTGCATGCTAAGCAAACCCTCTACCAGGGAGCTGCACCCTGGTAAAAGCCCAATGTGTACTTTAAAAATAATACGAAATCTTGGACTGGTGGTAGAGCTCAGAGGTAGAAAGTTTTTCCAGCGTGCAAGAAACCCTGGGTTTGATCCTTAGCACTGAAAAACAGACAAACAAACAAACAAACAAACAAACCCAAAACCCAAAAACCAAAAATCTGATGGATAAAAAGAAAGGAAAACCCATGGCCTAAAAAGTAAAGAACACGAAACACAGTTTATCCAGTATAAAAAATGAAAGCAGTACAGAGAAGTTTCACAGCCTTTTGATTTGAAGGTAACCTTGGGAGATGTCTGGAGGGCTAGAATTATTTTACTGTTAGACACTTAGTGTTGACAGCATATAATAGGTTCAATCATGACTGCGAAATTCCAAAGAACTTTCGTGTGCTTTATATAGAAAGCACAGGAGGTTATGGTCTAAACTGATGCATTTGTCATTTCTATTTGCCTGTGTCAAAATCCACGGTATGCTTTTGTGGCGGGTCAGACAGAGCAGAGATTTGTAATTTGGAAAACAATGGGCTCCCCTTACAGATGCCTGTTGGCATTATGGACTCCAGGAAAATCAAGGGAGACAGAAATATTGCTGCTGTGCCCAGCAGTTATAAAGTACTTACAATAAAATAATCATGACTGGAACAATTTATACATATTTTATAGCAGTTATGATAGCTGAATTGATTTTAAAAAACCAAGCTCACGTCTCCTCAGACAGCCCTCTGACGGCCCACATATGAGAGCACACTGCCGGCAGAAGAGTCACTGTGCACTAAAGCTCAGTGGTCAGCGCACACTGTCCCTACTCTGTCCAGACCAGACTGCCCAGGTCCCTCTTCAGAGTGGGAAGGTGGACAGGCATTTTCCATCCCTGTCAGGGAGGACGGGAAATGGGAAGATGTGGATGTGAGGAAACCCTACACCCCCAAGTTCATTCCTGCTTTCCACTGACTTTAGAGTTTCAAGTGGTGGCAAAAAAGTCCAGAGGAGGCACAGAGGCATGGCCATGTCCTCAACAAGTGTAGACGCTCAGCACCCGAGGGCCAGCCTAAAGGAGACTCAAGATCACGGCACCAGGCCCGGACTCAGAGCAAATTTGGGCCCAGAGCCCTCGGCGTGCAGGGCTGGGGTCGCCACGGTCTCGCCTCTCCAGGGCCCTCTCCCGGGCCCTCTCCCGGTCTCCCACAACCTGGTAAGGTCGCTCCCCTTACACAGCTAGCTGCCGTCCACCAGTCCTGGGATGCTCAAAGTTTTCAGTGTTGCTGCTCGGTGACCTCTGTCCTTAGAATGAAAACCCCGTGTTGGCAGCCTGACCCCACTTTTACATTTGGAGACAGGGGCTGCTACCGTGGAGACTGAGTCAACAGAGATTCGAGGGAGCCCGGAGCCTGCAAGGAGACACAGATGCCCCTAAGCCACAGAGGGAGCCGGGCAGGACCAGCTCTGCAAGGCGCGGGCCTCAGAACTGGGACGAGAGTAATTTCTGTTGGCTAGAGTCCCGCCCCTACTTCTTTTTCATACTCGACCGCCTCAACATTTATGTTTTACTGGGACGTTTGCAGGGCGTATGGGCGGCGCTCCTCCGGGGGAGGTGGACGGCCAGATGTGTCCCAGGCAGATCTATCTGCTCGCTGCTTCCCATCCCGCATGTTTCCTTTTGCTCTCTGTTTACAGTTTGGCTTCTCATAAAAGAGAAGCTGTCAGTATTCAAGCTTGCGAACCTGCAGAGGCTTCCGCCCGTCCACGTGAGCGGCGCCCGGCTGCACCCAAGGCCCGCTCTGGGCAAGGAAGGCCCGCGGGAGCCGAGTAGTCCTGCGTGAAAAGAGGAGCGGGTTCCAGCCGGTTTCCCGGGAGGAAGAGGAGCTTGTGCCTCGCCTCCCCGCGTCTTCTGCGGGAGCGAACCCGGCCTTCTGCGCGGACCCTTCCCTCTGCCTGGGCTCCGGGCCTCTGCTGGGTCCTCCGGGAAGTTCCGTGTCCAGCGTTAGATCCCACTCCGAGCCTGTGCGGTCTTAGCAGGAGGCTCACCCAGCCCTGTGAGCTCTTGGGAGCACTGGCTGGACAGCATCTGATTCACCTCACTTAACGTTGTGATCTCAAAGCACATCCGTTTTTCTATAACTGACTCACAATTATCCTTCTTTACGGCAGAGTAGTATTCCATTGTGCATACGTGTCAGATTTTCTTTGTTCATCTGTTGGTGGACAAACAGGCTGCTTTCAGATTTAGCGATTGTGAACTGTGCTGCTGTAAACATGGGTCTGCGTGTGTCACTCTAATATGATGTGTTTAAGTCTTTGTCAATCCTTTGTCGTAGTTCATGGTGAGTCCCACGAGACGGTATCGTTAACCTGAGATGACACCGGTGTCAGAGAGGACTAACTTAGAATTCGACAGACAGTGTAGTGAGGGTGGATTTTGGGAAATTCCCAATAAAATATCCATGTTTTATTTTACATAGATTTTACGGAACTTTAGCGTACAGTGTTTTAGAATGCCGTGCCCCAGAGCAACTTTCCTTTGCAGGAAAGGGTGTGTATAACACGGTTTAAGGTGAAAACCCCGATCTCCTCACTGTTTTCGGCGGGTATGAAACTCACGACCTTGACTTGTAAGGCAGGCACGGTGCCTCTGAGTTACATTCCCGGTCCAGTCCGCTCACTTCTGGTAGATGATGCCTGTTCTTGACACTCTTTAAAATTTATAAAGGATTTTATAAGCATATATTCTAATGGCAGATATCAGCTTGGGGCAAGGAGACATTTGGGTTAGGAATTCAGAAATGCAATTTTCTTTATACGAGGATCTCCTTTATTTCAATTATTTCTTCCTCACTGATGTGTTTAAATCTTTGCCAAGATTTTTTATCTCATGTTGTCCACATACACTTTACCTTCCCAGAGTGATAGTAATTTTGTGGGCCTGGGCTCCTAGGTGTTTATTTCACTGAAGTTTACTTTTCATCGAAAGCTTTAAGAAGGCTACAGTACGATAAGAATAAGTGTGACTCCACATCGCATGGTGGATGTTGCTCCAGCTTCAGCAAGGAAACAGACTGAAAGCGGCAAGGACGGGAGAGAAGCCAGAGCGAAACTAAGCTGTGCTCCAGACGAGGACAAGGTCCGGCCGGGCCGCAGTGGGGCCTCTGGGTGTATTCAGGCACCTGGCAGCAACGCCCACACGCAGCGAATGTGGGGTGCAAGGGACATTTCAGTGTGATGCCCAAGGACAGCCCAAAGCTCGGCTGAACATTAAAGGTGGGAGGAGTTACATGAAGGGTTTCTGGCGCATTTGGCTGGCTTAGTGTTTAAAGAAAGTGCCTTCAGCATGGCTTTTACTAGAGAGCCAAAATGAGGCAAATCTCACCACAGCACGTGAACAGCAGAACAGGAAGAAAAAAGGATGTAAAAATTTTAAAGTTTGCACTTTTGGGCACAAGAAACATTTATAAGAGGTTTATTTTTTAATTGTCCACACAGTTTTTAATCAGATGACTGATTCTTGTTACTTTATAATGTTGAAAATGTCAGTATTGTGCCTTGCATCATTTTTTGGTTCTTTGCAATTGCCATAAATTATGTGTGGGCGCCCACATTTACACTTTATACTTTAGGGCGTGAGAGCTGGAGGCAGAAGGCACACGCCCCACTGTCTGCCAGAGCTGTAATTGCTGTCCTTGTTTCCACGATGTGCAGGAGACAGTCTCCTGCTTACGAAATTCCTCCTGACTCTCAGCTCTAAACACACAGGTGCACACGGAACTGGTAAATGTAACAGCGCAACTCTGTGGAGAAAGCAATCTTAATAGCGTACACTAGATGCAGACTTCAGTCCAGGCAACACCTCCTCCAACACCTCCTTTACCGTACGGAGAAGACCAATGCAAGGCACAAAAAACACGAAAGGGAACGGAATTCCAGCACAATCCTTCCAAACACCCGTGTGTGTGCTGGATGCCCAGTGGTTGATGCCCAGGGACCCTAAAGGACAGCGATGTGACATTTGTCCCTCTTCAAACTCATGCCCGGGGGTGGCCAACTGACAGTTGGTGTGTGTTTCCCTTGACTTGGAATACAGACCGTTAGGGAGCAGGGCTAATTCTTTTGTATCTTCTGTACCACAGTACAACACAGTAGAAAATTAAAACAAAGAACAGAACCCACCACTGCGGCCCCAATGTGTGAGGACCTCTGACAAGAGATGTACCTCTCTAATGCAGGAGTTTAATACGGCAGCCACAACTCCAAAGAACCTCACACTTTCTGCTACACTCTGCTTGCCGCTGAATCCTCTTTCGACCAGCAACAAACAAAAACATACCAAATACACCAGAAACCTTGGCCATCTGTTTACTGTGGAAACTCAAGGCGAGGGCTTCTGTAAAAAGACGCCACCCTCATCAGAAATGCGGAGAGATCGTTTGCTGTCCTGTGACTGCTCACCAAATGTCTTCTGGAAATTGTGGACATCAGCAGGGTGTGCACCAGTAACACCGAACCGTGTAGGGGGGAGGGCAGGTATACAAAGGCTGTATTTTTGGAATGATACAGCAGAGACCATTATTTTCAGCTTCAGTTCATTTAGAAGACAAGTTCCACTGAGTCTCAAAATTTCAGAAGATTACACTACGTTTCTCATCGGATCGTATCCTGCAGGGGCAGCTGTCAAGACTACCATCTAATTTTCTCACCATTGTTTTCAGATACAAATTGACTTCAATGTTATTAAATCGATGTACATAAGGTTCTTTCACCAGGACTGCAAGAATATGGTAGCTTTAAATACTGTAAAGTATCACATGCAAGGAAATTTTCAGGAACTACCTACATATTATACAAACTAGGAGAATGATGCTACTATAGATCAGTATTCTTAGCATTCTAACTACTAAGAAAAAGAAAGAGATTCAAGTTCTAGATGGTGTAGGTTGGTTGTTGAGAAATTCAGAGGCCTTTAGTACATGACAATAGAAAAGTAGGCTATGAAGAGAAAGGACACAGAGCCGCCAACGAATGGAGAATGTGATTTTCCAGATTTTGGAAAATGTTTTGAAAAACAATACAAATGGTGTGCGGAAGACAACAATTTCCAGAAATATAAAATTATCTGCTTGGCAAGCTAGAAGCTAGGTCACTAAGATGTTTTCTTGCAGTCTGTTGATTATTTTCATAACAGAAGGCAATGGGAAAATTATATGCCCAGTACCTTTGTGACCAACTTTTCCAGACCAGCCCACTTTACAACTAAACGGGAATTGGACGAAATGAGGAAACAGATCGGCGCAATGTCACAGAACTCTTAGTTAATTGCTGGTTTGAGTCGGACCAAAGTGTGCCACCTGGGCAGGTGCTGCCCAAGGCGTGTGTCCGGGGGAGTTAGCCAGGGCATTTTTATGTCCCATGCAGTTGACAACATCACGTCCTGCTCACTGGCACAGAGGACCTTAAAGTCAGGAGCTGTCAGTCAGGTCAAGCTTCGATTAGACTTGACCAAAAACGTGGGACCACAGCCTCAATTAATGATTTGTTTCAATGCCTATTTTTCATTTACATAAATTAAATGTAGTTTTAAAAATTCATTAATTTTAGTGGTACACTTTCGGTATACTACACGATGACATGCATCTTCAGAAGCTTGTACCTTCACATAATCTACCTTGGTTCTTATTTTTTCTCCATTCCCCTGCCTTTCCTGCACCCCCCTCACCCCCCCATTTACAAAGACTTCGTTTCCTTTTTTTCCTCTCCCCTATCCCCCACTTCCCCTACCCCAGTTTGATAGTTTCTTCCTATTTCACATTATCTATTATACATCTCGATCCTTATTTACACTTTGTTTTTCATACCAGAGAAACTATTTGGTATTTATACACGTGTGTCCTATTTATTTCACGTACGAGCACCGCCTCCATGTTCATCCACTTAGCTATAAATGTCTTCAGTTTCTCTTTACAGCTGAGTAGTACTCAATTTTATTAAAAAACCACATCTTCTTTATCCAGTCACCAGGTGATGGGCAATTGGGCTGTTTCCAAGATTTAGCTGTTATAAACTGTGCTGCTATAAACACGGGCGAGCATATATTGCTGTGGTGGAAACCATGCACTGCTCCACAAAAAATGGCTGCTATCCAGAAATCAACCAACAACAAATGCTGGCAGGGCTGCAAGGGAAAAAGGAACCCTTCTCCATTGTTGGTGGGAGTGCAGATTGGTGCAACCACCGTGGAAATCAATATGGAGATGCCTCAAAGAACCAGGATTAGAGGCCCTATTGACCCAGCTATTCCACTACTGGGTTTCTTCCCCAAAGACTTAAGTGTGCTTTTAACTATGGCATCTAAGGCATCAGGTTAGGTTAAGAGTTTCTTAGTTACATTATCTGCCTTCACAGGAAAGTAACAGAGTGAAAGAAAAACAAACAAACAAACAAACGTGCAATCATATGCTAAAATCTGGGTCATCCCGACTCATCCTGTATCCAGCAGATCACACACATTCCTTTTCCTGGTCATACTTTGGCCACCAGTGTCTGGTACAATGTCTAGCAAGGTACCAGACGGGGTTGGCAATGGCCTTAACTCCTCAGAGCACTTTGTGTAATCCTCGGTACTAGTGGCGTTTTTAATTACATTGTGGGAAATTTTGAGTTGTTTCGTTTCAAAAGATTCTCAAGAATACTTTGAAGGTCCTTAAAGAATCGTTTCTGTCGCAAGATCCAAGGCACAAGAAGAACATCAGGGTCAGAGATGGAATTAAAAGCCCAACAAAAGGATTTAAAAACTGTAACACTCTATGAAAAGTCAGTCACGAAAGTCACTGACATATCTACACTCCACTCTAAGGTTAGTTCCAACAAGAGTGGGCTCCAATCTCACCCAGAAAACAGAGTTCTAGCCCCGCCAGGTGTTAGTTCACCCCGTGGTAGGTATGTGAGGTTCTGTCACGGCTTCCATGTCAGGCCGCCCGATAGCTCTAGGTCAACACGCCCAAACCAAAGCGGGGGTATTGGTTTCAGTCTCTGGTTTGAACAGAGCCCATAAATATTGTGAGCTACTGAATGAACGAAGATGGCATTCATTTAAGTAGTATTCACGGAGCACTTCTGTGTCAGCCTCTGAAGATAGAGAAAGAAGTAGATGTGTTCCTGGACTACAGGACTCTTGGACCAACGAGAAGGCAAACGCGAACTCGTGATGTTGAGGATGAGGCCACACAGCGGCCTCAGATGTCAGAGTCAGGCCTGCGTTCAGCGCATGCTGCTGGGGAGCTTGAGCAGGGGTGGGGGGGCAGGGAGACAGTCACCTCACGGAGGGGCGGGCAAGAGTTTTGTGTGGTGGTGGTTGTTGTTTTATTCCCTGTTTTTAAGATTTTAGTGCCATTGCTTCACATGCCTAGGCTATGGAAGGACCCCAGTGGAGGGAGGTGGAGGAGGAGACACACAGGGGAGAGAGAGAAAGGGAACAGATATGTGTCAGAACCAGGTTAAGAGAGAGCTGAAGAGCTGACATCAAGTCCTAAATTCATGTGCTTCTGTATTTGGCTTAAGAAATGTCACGATCTAAATGTCTTCTTTTATGACCACTGTTTTAAAAATGTAATTCCACAACAAATTCTCAGCAAGCCTAAATGTTTTAAATAAAAAGAGGCTCATGCACCCCTAACTTACCTAAATTTAAATTAAAACATTAGTTCTAATCCATAAACACAAAGCAAAATAATGTAACCTGAAGGAGACAAGCAACATACCGAGTGACATTAAACGTGGCCCTTTTACTACAATAATGTCATCTTTCTAATATGTGACAGTTTTGTCGAATGCAACTCGAGTGAGTCTCTGCTTTTTCTCTGTGGAAGAATCATTTTGAAGCTGAATCATAAATTACACATTGTACCTTGGCAAAATTACCCTTCCGTGGCATTTCCATCAAACCCATTATCCTGTGCTCTGTTGCCTAGCTACTGGAATTCGGAGGTTTAATGCATTTTCGATGGATATTGAAATTCCAAACTGAATTTCAGCTCTGCATTCTACAGAAAGAGAAACTGCTAGACACATCTGTTTACTTACATTTTCAGAGGAGACTCCTTTGTTTGCAAGAGATCAGGCATGCTAAGTTTTGGTGAACATTGTACTGATTTTCAGTGAAGGAATTTTAGTGTCACATGTAAAGTCACACGAAATTCACACGGCAGTTTTTGTTGTTGTTTGTTTTTACTACTAACATGGAGAAAAGCGAGGTTTTCATGATCTTTTTAAATGTTGAAAGCTTTAAATCTCTGGTTTGGTTTCTGTTCCATTTGTAATTATGTACACATGCATCTTTGGAATAAGTAGCTGGACTTACCTGTTCCCAGGCGAACACATGTTGGTTAAAATAATACTGAATTTGTTCATTTGCAATGTTAATGCACAGCTGCTCAAAGGAATTTTTTTTGAAATTTTCAAAGCCAAATATATCAAGAATGCCAATGCTCAGCTCACCACCGCTCCCACTGGAAGAATAACAGTAGTATTATGCTCAGTTATTATTTGTTTAGGAGCTCTGCAAAGTATCTCAGGGCTCCTACATGTTCCTGAGCTAAGACACTACTACCAGAATGCACACTCAGAGTACAACTGTTTCTCTTTCTTTGTGCTATGAGTTGAATGCAGGACCTTGGGTATGCTAGGCAAGCACTATACCACTGAGCTGCATTCCAGCCTCTCTTATTTTTTTACTTTATTTTGAGACAGGGTCTCACAAAGTTGCTCAGAATTCCTTTCAACTTGCAATCCTACTGCCTCAGCCTCCCAAGTAGCTAAGATTACAGATATGCACCTCCATCCCAGCTGAAATTTTCTCAACAGCAGAAGTTCCTTTCCACGGAACATGAAGATAATGGAGGTAGCACTATTTTTTACATACATATCTACCTTGTACTGTAAAAACCATTCCTATTCTCTCATATATACTTTACGAAAAAGAAAAAATTTCTCTGTGGGTTATAAGTACAAAGTCGTGGCACGAAGTGAGCTAGGAATCATATCAACAAGCTGCCTGGCAGTGAGAAGGAAGCAGGCATATTCAAACAAGACTGCACCAGAAAAGCACAAATTCTGGTAAGGAGTGCATTTAGTTTTTCATTTTAGGAGAACAATTTAAAATATTACTGAAAAGATCTTAATTATTTGAAGAATCATCATTTATTTTTGGCTCAATTGCTTATGAAATTTAAAAAAATACAGAATTAATGGTGACCTGGAGAAAGATACAAATATATGCGGGGTTTATTTTACAATTAAATACTTTAAGAATACATTAAATACTCTAGTATTTCACAATTAAATATTTCAAGGGCATTTTCCTGTTATTCAGTGTGGTCACTTCTGCTCACTATCGGTTGATGTTTGGTCAAAAAGATTATCTTCTCCTAAGAAATATTTATACTGGAAATTAGTTTTACGTGCACTTATGAGGGCAAGAACACAGGTTCTGTTCGTGCTCCCCATTCGAGAGGCGTAGGCGAGACTGTCCCGTGCCACCCACAGCTGCGGGGAGCGCCTGACTGGGAGCTCAGAGGGAAGGGCACTGTAAAGATGTGACGGACAGCCGGGAGGGTTTCCGAAAGTCCCTTCTGAAGTGTAGTTGGGGCAAGACACGTAGTGGAGGTTCATGTTGGTTTAGTCAAACTTAATGTCCTTTCACAATATCTGTGCCTACCGGGTCCTGCAAAGTATTTAGCTTCCTGTGTTTCTATTCTGGAGTGAAAGACATAGACAGTTTTCACCAGGTTCTTAAAAGGCTTTAAGGTGCCACTGACAATGAAAACCACAGCTCTGTCTTTCGGTGGTGCTAGTTAGCAGCTGACGAGGGAGAGATGCAGAAAACTGGTCATTTGCCCAGCCTCACACACGTTGGTGGCAAAGCCTGGGACAGAACTCAGGCTTTCCAGACTCTCAGGGTAAATCCTGACAGAATCAAACTGAGCTATCTGCTTGGGTCTTTAGTTTTTCCTTAAGCTGTCTGCAAAAAGTTTTCATTCGTGTACGGAAAGGGAAGTTGCACTCAACAGATGGGCTCTTGTGGGATTTTTCAGATCATCCTGCTGGTACCATCTAGTGCTAAACATGCAGTTACAGGTCAGAAGTGGGGTCAAGTCTTTATCTTGCATAAGTACGTGAGATACACTTTTGTTGAAAGTTGTGAGTTCTTTCATTTTCATATGAATGTCTGACATTCTAGAGATGGCCGCACATGAGTGTACAAACGGTGATTCTGGTTTTGCACACCTTAGCAGGAGGTAAGGAAGCAATTTTGAGAGGAAGACTGAGAAGAGGAGGAGAGGAATAATGAGTCACCTGTCAGTGTGACGGGACAGTGTGACAGTGCAGGCTGTGCGTCAGAGGAAATACGAGGAAGAATCACCTGCTTGAGACCTGCATCAAATGGTCGTTTGTGCTTGGCAGGTGTGAATGAGGTAATCTTAAGGGAAGCATCCATCTTGCTTTTCCACACACAACATTTCTTAAATTCACACAATTTAGGGCAGAAAAAAGCTTTCACAGTAAATGTAAGGACTTATGTCTAGGTTCAGTCCAGACAATGAGGTCAGCAATCAGTGCTACGGAGGCCCCAGTCCTGAGGTCCCACATTCTGCCTCATCTTTCCCTTCTATACCATTCTTGCTCCAAATTTCACTGGAAGTCATAATACCTACGCTTATGGGTTGATAGAGAGAGTTAAAATATGAAAAAAAGTGTTTTTCCTTATCTTGAAGATGTAATTTAAACTCTTGAAACAAAGATTAAAAACTTCTGGGTTGACCTCTTCTACAAGTATAAAGCGGTATATACTTCACGGTATATCCTCTAATTAAAATAACACTAATATCCACAGTAAGATTCCACATTAAAAAAAATCATTTTCTATTGGGATCATTGCTGTTGCTCCAGCTCTTCTGTTTCAGCAATTAAAACTCTTTCCATTGATGTGGTGTAACGAGGCGGTAAGAAATGATGCTATTTATTGAAGCGTAATGGTGACAAATAAATGATGTCAATTAAAAACATTTTCAAAGTGACCCACACAAAGAGAAAATTGCAAAACAGATCCATCACTTGACATTTAGGAGAAAAGTTTGTACAGAGATTTTTACCTTGACGGTGGGTCGTGCTTCAGCAAACTGTTAATGCGGTTGACGATCCAACTGAAGAGCCGCCCATACAGAGCTTTGGCCACGGCGTCTCTGATGTCGGTGGCTTTTTCTGCAGTGTTGGGTCGGATAATTGTTTCTCCTCTGGTGACCACGCAGTGGGAGGTGAGAGCTTCTTGTAACTCAGCCGCCTGTATGCAAAGCAAGGAAGCAGCTGCAAAATGAACAGACGAAGGGTAAGAAGGGGATCACGGCCAGGAAATGAAATTGACTTAATTCACTTCCTTCGATGACATGTGATAAATGGTGAAGGTTTTATGATGTAAACGTAGGCTGCTATTCAACATTAGTCTTGTGTGGCTTCTTGATCACTTTTCTCTCCTTTTCTCCACCGTTCAAATGATGGCTGCTGCTTAACACAACCCAACCCAAACCAAACTGGATGGCAACAAGCAGCAGCTGCACCAGTGAGTGGTTGTTTATGCGATGGCCAACATAACAAGGTGAAATAATTTAAAAGCATAAGCCAGGGCAAGGCGGTGCATACTGGTAATCTCAGCACTGTGGGAGGCTGAGGCAGGAGGATCACAAGTGTGAGTCCATCCCTGGCAATTTAGCAAGACCAGGTCTGTCTCAGAATAACAAGTGAAGAAGGCCTGGGAATGTAGATCGGTGTGAAGGTCCTGGGTTCAATTCCTACTACTGAGTTAAAACAAAGCATAATGAAGAGATCTGGATAATCTTGATACCATTATTTTCAAAATATAGAATTAATAGAAAGGTTACTCGGATGTTGGAGGAATACCGAACAAACTGGTCTGAACTACCTTCTTCAATGTACAACTTTTTTTTTGGGTTTTTGTTATTTTGTTTTTTTGAGACAGGGTCTCACTATATATTTGATTTTTTTTGGTACTGGGGATTGAACTCGGGTCTTTGCACTCGCAAGGCAGGCCACCAAACTGCAGAGCTAAATCCCTGGCCCTTCACAATATATTTGAGACTGACCTGGAACTCACTATGTAGCCCAGGCTGGTCTTGAACTCACAGTTATCCTCCTGCCTCAGCCTCCGGAGTGCTGGGATTACAGGCATGCACCACCACGCCCAGCTCTTCAATGTGCAATTTAAAAAGATTTAATTTAGCTCAACATTCGTGTACCTGTCATCACAGTTCCTTGAGTTCCATATTTCAATCACAAAATTTTGATAAAACTTGATGTCTGAGTAAACATTTATTTTACATTTAATGATAATTAAATATTATGGAGGATTTAAAACTCATAATGCTTTAACTCAGTGAATAAAATTCATTTTTGGATGTAATAAGCATTTTTAACCAAAACCATTGCACGACAAGCTAAGTTTTCAACTCAGTAGTTCTCTTTGTAAAACATTTTGAACAGTTTGAATTCATTTTTAGACATTTTGACAAGGTATTTTCTGGTTATGTGGCTAAAATTATTGAAGTTCATCTTAAGACATTTTTTCACACTGTAGAAGTAATAATAGGTTTTATCTTCAAAATTAACATTCGTTTCTTTTATTCTAGGAGTGCTTAGTGCCTAGAATTACTTATTCTGCACAAGAAGTACCCTACTGTTTTAAGCACTTTCTATTTTGTGGGATGTTGTTTGTAAACATGATTTTGATTTGCTGCATGTCCTAGCATATCACAGTCTAGCAATCATTTTAAAATTGTTAGACATTTAGTTGCCGGGTGTGGTGGTACACGCCTGTAATCCTAGCACTCGGGAGGCTGAGGCAGGAGGATCTGTGAGTTCAAAACCATCCTGAGCTATGCAGTGAGTTCCACGTCAGCCTCAACTATATAGTGAGACCCTGTCTCAAAAAATCAAAACAAAAACAAACAAACAAAAAGTGATTAGACATTTAAGTTGTGTCCATAGGTTTATAGTGGTAAAAATATGGGGTAAATAATGTGGGTATGAAAGACTCCCTTGTCAGCAACTGGTTCAAGAACTGCTTAACTTCTTGTCAATGACTAGCCAATTACAGTCCTCTCAGCCAACCCAAAGACCAAGGGTCTGAATACAATTTCATGGGTATTGGGAATTATTTTTAAAAATAGCCAATTAAAAAAAAGCCTATTTGATAAGAAAATGTCTTCTTTCCACTTTTAATTATTCCAAGTGAAGTTGAACATCTTTTCCTTTCTCATTTTTATTCGTGATTTGTGATCGTATATTGTAAACTGCCTTGGTGCTGCTATAAATTCACCTTTTCCTAATTAATTTATAAGAGCTCTTTAGAGTGTAATGGGAAGTTCTGATATGTTGTGAATTTTTTTCTCACTTTCATTTGCACTGAAACTTACTTTATGTTTTCTTTATGTACTATAAAAGAATTTAATTTCTAGGTAGTCAAATATCCAATCTTTAAGAAAATAATTTATGCTTTTGGTTTTCTGAGTGTAAGAATTATACAAATGCATTTCATCTGCATTTTTATGATTTTCCATTTATTTTATTTTATTTTTTTGGTACCGGGGATCGAACTCAGGACCTTGCACTTGCAAGGCAGGTGGCAGAACCACTGAGCTACATCCCCAGCCCTCCATCAAATTTATGTGTTTAGGTTTTGGTATATGACATTTGAGAAGAATTCAAATTCCCCCTCTCTCAGATGGTTAGCATGGTGGTTGTCCTACAACACTGATGCCCTATGGATTTGTCACGTTTTGGTAATTTTAGGTGCATCTGTTTCTGAACTCTGTCTCCCACTGATCTGTATGTCCATTTCTGTTCCCATTTTGTTCATTCATTAACACGTATTTGTTGTCTGGTACATGCCAGGCGTTTTACTCAGGGACATATTATTAAGTGCAGTACTTTGACAGCACAGTTCCAGTCCTAATGATCTTCATCTAGCAGGCATGGGAAGCTCATCAAGAAACTTAAGTGGGGAGAGATGGGGAGGACAAGGAACAGAAGGAGGGAACAGGGTGGCGGGAGAGAGGGGAAGGTAGAGGGGGAAGAAGAGAGGGAGGAAGAGAGGGAGACTGAGAGCCCCCGATACACGGTGAAGCAGTTTCTGAATTAACCACGAGAATGGGCAGAGAAAGATCAATTCTTGATGCAAAATGAACAACTGGGAGACTATTTCATTCAGGCAAGGGATGGCATTGCCTTGGATAAGAACGGTAAAGATGAACAAAGAGAGAAATGGTAAGATTTGAGGGACACACACATGTGTGCGCATGCACGCGCGCACACACACACACACACACACACACACACACACACACACACACACACACGATAGAAGGAAGAGAATTAGGCCTGAGTAAAATAATGCACTCGTAAAAACCATTTAGGAATGTGGCTTTGGTTTGGAAATAATTTCTTTTAACTCTAAGTATAAATCTTCTTATTTTCCCAAAGTGGCTATTCTAGAAAGTGCTTTAATTATATTCATATCAACATTTTTGGTGACCTATAAGATACATAAGTAGATCCATCAAAATAACCTTTTAGTTTGGCTGTTTGTAAGCCTACTCTTGTTCATAACTGGGCGTTTCCATTTAGGTGTCCCCCACGGCTCATCTATTGGACACTTGGTCAGCAGCCCGTGGTACTACTGGGAGGTGGTGGAAGCCTGAGGAGGTGGGGCCCATGGACGTTAGGAGTCCTTGTGGGTGTGCCCTGGAACAGGACTTGGGGACCCCTCCTCACGGTACCATCACTTCCTGGCCCCCACCGGTGAGAGGCTTGGCGTTGCACACACTCCCCAACATGATGTCCTGCCTTGGCATGGGCCCCAAGGCAACAGAACAGGGAGCAAATGAATGTAGACTGAACTGCTGAAACCACAAGCCGAAATAAAACCTCTTCTCTGGTTAAGTTGGTTTGTCTCAGGAATTTGTCACAGCAAACTAACACAGTTGTGTCTCACTCTGATAACTCTCCTAATTATGATTAGATGGTGAATACCGAATCTTACCAAAGTTGTCTGGTTCTTCCTTTCACATCTGATAACCTGATGTCTTGTGAGCTACTGAAACTCTTTCATATATCTCAGCGGGAGATGGCAGGGCTCTAAGGAACAGTGACTCTGGGCCAGGAAGTTTTGGCACTGGCTCTCTGAAATTACCCTAAAACCTCTCATTTTGTTCTGAAATAAATATGATTCAAGAAAAAAATGTGCATAAAAATTTGCATCACCATTGCCTAGGCTATGAATGAAATAACAAATATAGAATTCTGAGAAATACGCCATTATAAAAATAACAAGGCATAAAAAGCTATACCACTGGAATCCTTAAATTATTTGGAAGAATTCATCAAACTCTGTTATTAACAGAAAACTTGATATGAAGCCATACCATGATGTGCTTCTCTTGTGTGGAAAAATGACTGAAAAATTAATTAATACAGGACAAATGGGCGTACAACATTCCTCCAGTAAAAAACATACAGGTTTTATTTCTTTTAAAAAGACTCATGTTTAAAATCTGTAGGATGATGAAAACTTCATTCTTTTTCCTACTAGTTAAACTCTATTTTACCTATCTTTTCTGTATTTTTGAATTAAAATGTAAACAGCTACGAACACGGTCATAAAAGCTTTATCATCAAAAATGTTTTCTACAGTAATTGTTTTGCACTCATTAAAATCTGTTTTAAATAATGGCCTTTTAAAATTTCATTTTATGCAAATTGAATCTGAGCATTCTTTTAAAGATTCCTCATGAGTGTAATTGCTTGAGATCATCCTCAGGGGACACTTACGGCGTAAGACTTGAGGAAGTTTAGTCTGGAGTAGAAGATCATACAACTTACAATTCTCCAGTGCTGAATGATTGCAAATGTAGCTCTTGTCAATCTGGTGTTCTGTTGCCACGGAAGAAAATTCGATGTTTCCAACATTCAGGATTGCAGCAAGTGTACTGTACACACTTCCCAGTTGCTGAAACACAGCACAGCAATGTGAGCTCCACTCTCCTCTCGCAGATACAGGTGGCGACTGAGGAGGGGCCAGGTGGAGAAGAAGCCTCTGGGTCCAGCACAAGAAGGTCTGGCCTGAGACCACGATGTCAGACTAAGATATCCAAGTGGAAAAGGACCCACAATGCTATCTCGATTTTAGAGAAGAGCATGGCGCCTATCACCCATTAAGGGCTCAAAGACCCTTTTAAAATGCAAACATGAATAAAATATAGAAATGAAGAGCTCTCTAGGAAGAAATAGAAACGTCTCATTCACTGGGCCATCAGAAAAGCTATCCATGTAAAACTTTAGAATCTAGTAAGGGTGTTACCAAATGTACATGTTCTTAAGGCTGCCTTAAAAGTGAGGTTTGGTGTGTGATGAAGGAGAGTTAAAATAGAAAAACCAGAAGATCCCAACACCCAAACAGAAGAATATATGTGATTTAAGTACAGGCTTGAGAACCGTGTTATAGCGGTATTACTACATGGACATAATTCCAAAATAAGGAATATTCTTCTTGAAGGACCTGGAGGCATTTTGCCATTTGCCATGGAATTCATGGCCATCCTTGATGGTGCTCAGGGTGCCTTGTGACCTTGCCCACCACCCCACTCTATCCTGCCAGTCTTCTCTCTCCTCCAGCCCAGGGGAAGCCTCCCTCTTCCTTGGGGAGGCCCTGCTCCGGTCAGTCTTCTTCTCAGGGCCAACCCTGTCCTGTCCTCCTGGCTCTGCTCCAGGAAAAGCCACTGCCTTCCACCATGTCCTTGAGGACAAGCTCATTTCCAGTTGGCCAGAGAGCCAGAGTTTCATTGCTAAGGTGTATCAGGCACCAGCCTCCTCACTGCTGCCTTACATGTTTCTGTTCTGCTTTGTCTGAGCACCACGCTACTCCGAAATGCAGACAGCAGCCACATCCTGCACGGATGGGACAGGGCTGCCCCTCTCCATGCTACATTACTCTGCCCAAGGCAAAGCAATGGGTTAGAATGATTCTTTCTCCTCTGAAATTTTATCACACTACAGCAACGACTCAACCAACCATCCATCCATCATTTATCAACACTGTATGAGATGCGACGAACATATCAGTGCCCAAGAATACTCTCAGCACTTAAGGGTCCTACTAGTTCACAGAACCAAATGGAACAGATCATTGTGTACACTGTATTTCTTTTTTCTTTTCTTTTCGTGCACCAGGGATCCAACTCAGGGACTTGTGCCTGCAAGGCAGGTGCAGTACCACTGAGCTCAATCCTTGGCCCCTATACTGTATTTCTTTTTTCTTTCTTT